CGATCCTTAGGCGCCTGGGGCCCGGGGACGCCGCGATCACCTGCACAGCTTGGCTGAGCCCCTCGCACACGGCGTAGTTGAAGGAGTCCACATGCGCCCGCGTCAGCTCTTGCAGCGCCGCCTTCTGCTGCGCCCGCGGGATCCGGTACGAAGGGTCGGTCAGATGCTTTAGGCTAGGCCCGCTGGGTAGGTTCCGCCAGCGGCCGCTGGGATCCATACTGTGATACCCGCGACCGCTCCACGTGAGCGAGGAATAGGCGGAGCCCGGAAGCCCGCAGCCTCTTGGGAAATGGTCCTCCGGTTCCGCCCGACCCTGGTCCTCCGCTCTTATAGGGTCGGCTTGCAACCAAAACCATGGCATGAACGGGCCGGTTAAAACCGTGCAGAGTTTGAGCAGAGAGAACCCCTCCCTGCTTCTCGGTTCCGCCCCCACCCAGATTCCTCTCTAACCTTAGTCTGCTGATTCTATGAGTCCTTTATCTTCCGAGAATGCTGATCACAGTGCTTGCTATTTTTTTAGCTTACTGTGTGTGTAACAACTGTATCGTGGTATCACTGACACAGTAACCACACACATTTATACATGATGATGAGTTCTGACTTGTGTGTTTTCTGGTGTGTACACTTCTGTGTATACTTTGTACACGCCCATGAAATCATCGCCAAAATTAATACAGTGAGCGAATCCACCACTCCCCAGTGTTTTCCTGTCCCTTGGAAATCCCTCCACATACCGACTTCACCTTTTCCTACTTCAGCTGGTAATTTCATTCCTATTTCACCTTTTTTTTGTTGGTTTTTTGGTTTTGAGACAGGGACTCACTTCATAGTGCTGCTGGCCCTGAAATCACTACGGAGCCCAGGCTGGCCTCGAACTCCCAGCGATCCTTATGCCTCAGTCTCCTGAGAGCTGGAATTACATGCGTGTAATCCCAACCTCCTATATCACTTTTAAACAATTTGTCTTCTGTGTCTATTTTTTCTTGACATAACCAAATGTACCAAGATTTATGAATCTGTAACCTAGATTCTTCTTTCCCTCCCTCCAGGAGTCAGCTTGCTCTAAGGAAAATTTTGTTTTTACTTGTTTTTTGAGACAGGATATCACTAGGTAGTACAGGCTGGTCTTGAATTTAGCGGTCTTCCAGCTTCAGCTTCCCAACTGCTGGGATTACAGGTGTGCAACACTACACCCCCTTTATCTTTTTTATTGTTGAGTTGTAATAGTACTTTAGTCAGTGCCAGGCTTTATTCAGCATGTGATTTGCAAATATTTTCCTCAGTTCTGTATGAGATCCTTGATGGTGTGTTTGGAAGTAAAAATTTGTAATTAAACATTGTGTACTTATTGTTGTTGTTGCTTGTGCTTTTGGTGTCACATCTAAGAAATTAGTATCTAAACAAGGCCATGAAGATTTACACAGATGCCTTCTAAGAGTTGTAGCTTCAACTTTTATGCTTAAGCCTTTGATCCATTCTGAATTAATTTTTTGTGTATGGTATGAAAAATATACATTATTTCTTTGATCCATTTTGAATTGATGTTTGTATATGGAATGTAAAAGGTATCAGTGTATCTGCTGTTGTCTTAGCACCATTTTTTGAAGACTTTCTTTCCCTCAACTGCACTGTCTTAGCCTCTTGATCAAAAATCAGTTGAACAAGCTGGGCAATGTGGTGCAGGTCTGTAAACCCTGCACTTGGGAGGCTGAGGCAGAAGGATCACTGGGAGTTTGAGGCCAACCTGGGCTACATAGTGATTTCAAGGCCAGCCTGCACTACAACGTGAAATCCTAGTTGGTTGCTACATTGTGTCAATTTGAGAAGTTTAGAAGCTTAGCTAAGTGAATTAGCAGTTCTACATCTTAAGGTGTACAGGACCCACCCTAAGGCAGGTCCTGCTTAAAATATAAGGGAGGAAAAGAGACTTGCTCTCTTCTTTTGTTCTTGTTCTTTTTTGCTGTTTGATCCCACTATGAACTGTTACCCCTCTGCCATGTGCCACCCTGCTTTGGAGCCAGTTGATTATGGACTGAAACGTCTACAGACTGTGAGCTAAATAAACCTTTCCTCCTTTAATGTTGGGCACCAGGTATTTTGTTTAAGCAATGTGAGAAAAGTAACTAAGACAATGTGCCATCTGTTTTATATGATTGGTGAGTATATTGTTGGAGACGTCTTCAACTATGTTTCTCATAGGTATGGGTCTATTTTCTTATGCTATGTTTAGATATCACAATATTAATAATGGGTTCATAGACTGAGATGGGAAATATTCTAACTTTTAGAAAAATTTGTAAAAGACTAATTTTTGTTTGTGATATTTACCCCTCTTTAAATGTTTGCAAAAGGGCCAAGGGTGTAGCTCAGTGGCATAAGTGCCTGTCGGGCAAGCACAAGGTCCTGAATTCAATCCCCAGCACCCCCCCCCATAAATAAATGTTTGGAAGAATTAAGTCATCTGGGCCTTTGCCTATGGAAAAATTTTTAAAATTATTAATTCAGTCTCTTGTACCTTTTTATTGGTAAAGAAAATAACAATGTATTTGTTGATTTCTAATTGTACTCCGTGTGGTCAAAAACCATGGCAGTTTTATTTCAGTCTTTTTATATTTACTAAGGCTTATTTTACGGGCTAACACATGATCTGCATCAGATAATGCTCCATGCACATTTGAGAACATGCATTCTACTGCTGACCAGCAGAATATTCTGTAGATATTTGTTCTAGTTGGCTTAAGGAGTTGTTTCCTTATGAACCATCTGCCTTGTTCTATCCATTACTGAAAATGGAGTATTAACACTTCCAACTATTCTTGTTGAATTGCCTACTTTTCCTTCCATGTTGGTCAATAACTGCTTTATGTATCATGCACTCTCTTGCTAGATGCATGTTTATCCTGATGGATGGATCCTTTTACCTTTCATTATAAAATGTCCTTGTCATGGCATTTCTTTTTTTTCTTCAAGTAAATGTGAGGCATTTCTTTTCTTAAAGGCTACTTTGTTGAATATTAGTGCAGTCACTTCTCCTCTCTTTGAGTTACTATTTGCATGATATATTTTTACATCTTTGTACTATCAATCTACTTGTGTTTTATGTTGTTTTTCATGATACTGGGGATGGAACGGAGGGCCTTTGCACTGAGCTACATCTCCAGCCCCTCTTATTTTATATTTTTAGATAGGGTCTTACTAAATTGCCAAGGCAAATTTAATATCATCCTCCTGTTTCGGCCTCCCAAGTGCTGGGATTACAGATATGTGCAACCATACGTAATTTTTCTGTGTTTCTTAATCTAAAATGAGCCTCTTTTAGAGAGAATATAGTTGGATCATGTTTTATTTGTTTTTGTTTTCTGAGTTTGGGTCTCTCTATGTAGTTCAGGCTGGCCTTGAACCTGCAATCCTCTTGCTGCAGTCTTCCAAGTGCTGGGTTACAGGTGTGTGCCACCACGGCTGCCAACATTCCATGTTCCTAGGAAGATGTCTACATTTTTCAAAACCGCCTATGGGTACCTCTTTCCAAGTTTTTCAGTTTCTTGTGTTCCAATGGTTATAGCTATGTCAGAAAGTTATGATACAAAATAACTGCTATCATCTTTGACAAATGGACCCAGGAAAAATGGTTGCTTACTCTGGACAAGCTCTGAGTCACATCAAAGCAAAACAAAGTCCTAAAATTGGGGATTTAATAGAACTATTAGGTGAAATAGTGACAGGGCTCTGTTAAAGGGACTTTGGAGATGCTCCAACCCCACTTGGTACCATACAATGGTTGCTAGGCAGCTGGGCCTCTGCACATTTTTAAGGCTGTTGGTTTCCAAGACTGCTTATGGAGCTGGGAAATGTGGATAGGAAGAGGGCAAGTGAAAATGTCAGCAGCTGTCCTTACTAAGATGCAAACACTTTTCTTGAGGAAGTGTTTTCTACACTGTCGAAAGCCTTTGGCTGGCGTCCAGCTTCTCTGGTGCTGTCACTTTTATGATAGACCGGACATTCCCAACTGAGGACTCTCACACGGTAGCCTCTTATGTGAACTTTAAAAAAGAAAGTTGTTGGCAGCCATCTTCAACTTGTGCCACACAGGACCCCATCGTTTCCCTGCCTTTAGGGATACCTGAGGGCAAACATCTTTAAAGTTGTACTGAATTGCTAGGGCCATGGGAGAACTTCAGGTTCTGGACAGCCTCTGATGAGGTCCTCTGGTGTCTCTGAACCTGAACCTTAGGAAAGCAGCTTCTTGTGCGGCCGCATACTCACTGATAAATCCAGGGCAGTGTGTCCCATCATGTCTGAACCATATTTGGAGCTGGGTGCCTAAACCAGGGCTTTGGCATAGAAGGACCCTGCTTGGTGCCACAAGGGTGCTTAGGGGTGGAAGCAGGCCGTGCAGGCCACATAAGAAAAGAGTTCAAAGCATGCAACCTCACAGCACAAGAAGTTGCAAGTTAATGACAATTTCCATACACAAAGTGCCTGAGGTGTGAGATTTAGAGGTATTCGAGAATTTGGCCTGAGGGCTGGACATTTTGCTGAGTAAGGTCATCCTGGGTCTGGGTAATTGTGGAAGCTGCCTTATGTTTGAAGCCAGGAACACTTCTCCACACCCCTGGTCTCACATCACCATCTGCACCCTGATCTAGAGAATGCCTAGGATTTGATTTTGCAGCTGGAATTGTTTCAGTGTTACTCCTTCATTCTTTTTGAAGGACAAGCGTATGCAAGGAACAGCTTCCTTGGGTCAGGAAACTATGGCCAGCTCTGGCTTATTTTTGTATGGCTTATGAGTTTAGAATACTTTTATACTTTATAAGAGTTGGGGAGAAACTAAGAACATGCAACAGAGACCCTGAATAGCAAGGACAAGCCTAAATATTTACTGTCTGGCTGCTTCTAGTTAAAGGCTGCCCACCTCTAGGTAATGATACCATGGATTTAAATAACCAGTAGGACGGTCCACATCTACAGTAAGATAACAGAGCCAAAGGGGGCAAAAATACTTGAAGTATCATTACTTTAATGCTCTGGGCATTTTTAAACATTCACAAAATTGCCTTATTTCAGAAATGACTTCTTCGTAGGTACAGATTCTGTGTCCAGCATCTGAAACATGTATATTGCCAAATGTTCTCTCCAGTACCCACATGCAACCTGAGACCAGCTATGGCACCTTGTCGTCAGTAGCAACCCCTCTGCCACCCCAACAGGACTGGCTCCACCCTCTGTGGGTACAACTGAGACTGCTCGTGCAAATGCTCTGAGGCTCTACAGACCCTGGCTGGTTCTATGGATCCCAGCATGTCCCCAGCACTCTCAGAGCTGGGACAGATGCTGACACCTGCTCTGCCCCGTCACACAAACGCCAAATGTTCTTGGTAAAATGTGGTCTGTAATGACTGTAGGGGTTTGGTGTGAGGGAAAGGGCTTTTCTCTCATAACTAATTAAAACTTTAACACGTTTTTAGTGGATTTATACATCCATGTCTGTTTATATTTGCAGTCAAGGCTTCATAAACTTTATGTTAAGCAGATAGGAGTTTCCCAACACTGTGAGGAGAAGCAAATGGAGAACCCGCTCAGACAACACTGGCTTTTGTACCAGGAATACAGATATTGACACTGGGTGTTCTTAAAGAAATGCCATTAAAAAAAAAAGTTTTTTTTTTTTTTTTAAAGTCTTAAGCCTTAAATGATTCTTCCAAGGTAATAATGCATTTTTCTTCCTCTCTAAGCAGTAATTCAAGGCATCTCAAGACACTGCTGCTGCCTGTGGCTCTGGTTTAACTGCCCGGGGCTGGAAAGAGAGTGGAGGTGTAGGCACCAATATTTTGTTTTAAAAGGTTCACAGATGCTTGAGGCATGTAGTCGGTGTGGCACTCAAGGCTCTTGAGTTTTCCTACTGTCATCTGTCCTCGCCACAAAGCCCTTGAGGTAGTCCCTGCTCAGGCAACAATCTCTTCCATGAGATAAGAAACTAAGGCACAGAGAGGTAAGGGGGCTCCTCTGACACTGTGCATTCAAATAACAGCCAGGACTGGAATCAACATCTCCAATAAATAACCTCTCCTCCCAGCGATGGGTAGTGCTTACACAGACCATTCCTGTGACGCTGGAGGGTCAGGCACAACCAACTGTGCCAAGGGCACCATGGAAGGGTATGGGACAGTTCTGAGCCAGACTTCCTGACTGGAAATAAATGCATTATAAATATGCTTTACAAGTGCGCATGCTCAGTGTAAGGAAGGAACTGTCACTTTTCTTAAAAGTCACGCTTTCCTCACAGATATGCAACAGATTCAGGTTTGCGGAAAATTTATCAGGATCCACAGACTTTCTAACACCTGAATTCTGAGCTCTCTCACTGTATGAGCTGGAAAACTCTGAAATGTTCCTGTGATTTGGGTCCAAAAGCACACAGAAACCTCTAGGCTTTCTCCATCTCCAGCCCACCTAGACTTGCCAAGAACCCAGAACCCTTACTTCCTAAACGGGTGTGTGTCTCGCCGTGAGGGTACCACCTCTCACTCCATCCTGAGTCCCACATGCTAACCCATCGGCTGCGCGGGCCTTCAGGACTGACTTAGTACTGACTCTCATTTTGCCCTGCATGTAAACTGCATTCCTCATATTTCAGGTAACCAGTGGGACTTTACATAATTCCTAATTCCTGTGAGCACCAACCCAGTTGGGAGCTTTGTCACTTCACTGTAACACCTTCATGTCCAGTCACCTGTCACTGTCTCATAATTTCTAATATTTTCCCCTTTTCATCAGAAGCTTCCACATCTCATGCTATCTGAGGAGCAATGTTTTTCTCTCTCTTTTGTAGAAGTCTCACCTGACTGCAGAACCCACCAAGCAGAAACATATACCTGCCAAGCACATAGGACCACGTCCTAGGGAGGAGTATAGGCTCCTGTGTCTGCTGATGTGATTTCCAAGACACTCTAAGAATAGCCTAGCCAAGCATGGTGGGGCTCACCTGCAATCTCAGCCCTTGGGAGGCTGAGACAGGATTGCAGTGAATTTGAGACCACCCTGGGCTACATAAGTGAGTTCAAGGCTAGCCTGAACTGCATAGCAAGACCTTGTCTCAAAAAGAAAAGCCTAACCCTAAATACTCAGTTCACACTTATGACAAAAAAAACATCTCTCCACTGCTAGTGATGTGGCCTTGATGTGGATCAAAATATCAGCTGATTCCGAACTTAGAAACCACATCTTTGTTGCATACTTTTGTTGAGACTCACAAGAAGCTGCGTGGAGCTCTGAAACCATCTAGGCAGGACCACTCTTACTCAGAGAGCCTCCTTCCTGATGCCACTAGGCAAAGGCAGACTCAGAATCCTTCCTGGAATGGAACCTGTCCCTGGAGTGCAAGGTGCCTGGAGTACAAGGAGACCCAGAGGGGAAGCCGACCATGCCTGGCCAGGGCCATCTGGGGAGGACATGGGGCATGGAATTCCACCTTCCTGACCCTCAGGAGTATATACATTTTAAAAAATTGAAGGAAAGGAAACTTTGAAGACTTTCAGTTAGCATTCTGATTAAAACAAAAATAATTGATAATCATATTTCAAAGACACCCCCACACACACACATACATACATCCAACCCATGAAGTAGAGCAAGATCTGTATGGTTTTTCCTCTCTCATGCTTATTTGAGGCTTCTAAGTGTGGCAGACTTGTCGCTTTACTTCTAAAACATGCAGAGAGCAGATGGAGAGACAGCATGGGCACTGTCTGGGCCTTATCTGGAGAACCCCTGTCAGGAGTTGACCCCACACCACCAGAAAGGTGACGAGGACAGCAGCCTTCACGGCGAGGCTGACACATGGCACAACACTAAGGACTTGGTGCATGCTTGTCCAGAGTTTAGGAGGCAGAGTGTCCTGGCGGGGATGAGCAGGGGACACATGGGCGGCCTCCAAAGTGCTCTAAGATCCACTTCGTGTCCCAGAAAGCCAGGCTGCAGCTGGGCACAGAGCTAAGGCACTAAGGCTGCAGCGGGTGGGTGGAGAGACGGAGCAGCCGTCCTACAGCTTGCCACACCTGGGGAGGTCAGGCTGTGAGCCCCAGGGCCACCAAAGCACAGAGACCTCCCAAGGGTGAAAACGCACAAGAACCAAATCCCTGCCTTCGCCCCATGGATGAGCGCTCTGCTCCCCACTCAGAGACACGTGCCTCAGTTTCCTACACTGCAACAGCACTGCTGAGAGCTCCCCAGGGCAGCTCCCTGGGCAGCCAGCCCTGGAAGTTGCTTCCTCTTCTCCTGCTCTCTGTGTCCCGCTGTTCAAGTTGCCGCTCTTTCCCATCTGGGCTCGATAAGGAGCAGTCCTGTCATTTCGCCTCACTGTGAAGCAGGACCTCGTGCATTTCCCAAGGCAGCTCGCAGGGCCCCGTCGGTCACAGCTTGATGAAAGCAGCCAGCTGCGGCTGCTGCTCCACATCTGGTGGCGGGAAGACACTGGATATGGCTAAGTCCACGATGCCCTGGCACAGTTCTGCATAGAGCTTCCTGAAATGTGTTTTTAAATATGTCATTAAAGGAATTCATCGAAGTGCAAGGAAAAAAAAAATTAAAAGTTGTTTTAAACTAAAATCAGCCCCAGAAATTCCATCTCATGATCACGTTCATAAACCTGGTTTCCATGGTTTGTAGATGTACTGCATGAAACACTGCATGTAGATAAAGATTTTTCTCACAGATTTATGAAAGGCCAAACCAGACAAACCCTGCTGCAGCTTGCAGGGGTGACAGGCAGTCTTAATAGCATACGAGAGCCACTCGCCCGTGTGTGAGGGTGCAGAGAGGGGCGCGCACAGGCCAGGGAAAGAACCAACGTGGTCTGGTCGAGAGGACGCTGGGAAGGTTCCATAGGATCAATAGCTAAGCTGGGTCCAGAAGATAAGGAGAAGCCAGACAGGAAAAGGATGGCAGCATAGCAAAGGGGAAGAAGGAAAAAGAAGCGGGGAGAGAAGAAAGGAGAGAGAAAGGGAGAGCCAGGGAGGGAGACGGGCAGGATGGGCAGGACTGCGTGTGTGCGCAGGCGTGTGCACGTGGGGGAAGGGAGAAGAGGGCCACGTGAATGGAGAAGTGGCATGCACCAAGGAGCAGGGACTCAGGGGACCCAGGAAAGCGACAGCTGCAAGTGTAACGTAGACAACGTCAGGCCCCGTGGTGATGGGCCCAGAGTATGGACTTCCTGCACAGGCAAGGGGGCCACCGAGGTGGGCAAACCAAAAAGAAAACCTTTCTGGTTACTTCTGAGAACTCTGGGACCTCTCCCTCATACCTGTCCCTTAGGGCTCCCTGGAGCAGGCCCTGTGGAATGACTCTAACCCAGGCAAAAGCCAGAGATGTGTGGACCAAACAGGAAACTAACCCGAGATGACTCTCTGGGCTGGATGTGCCGACCCACACAACTCACTTTGGACTCATCTGGACTCCTGGTGGCTTGAACCAAGCACCCACTATGGTCTGTTCTTTCCTCTCTCCTCCCCAGCTCCTAGTCCCTGCACCTCTGTCTACACAAATCGAGTTCCATTTCAGTAGCTTAGCATGGTCAACCTCTCACTTCTGAAGGAGCCACAGGGCCCCGGAGGTCCACGGGGAAAGAGGGTAATTACTGAGCTTGGGATTCAGTCAGTCACCAAGAGCCAGAAGCTGTCAACATGTGCCCTTATTTTGCTGTCCCTACCAAAGCCCTTTCCTTTTCCTCCTTTAGGAAACAAGTAAAGAGGCATTTGAAAGTTACCTCCTTCAGTAGGAGAGTGAGACAGCATGACCCCATCGGCCTGCAGCCTCTCAGAGCGGCTTAGAGCCTCCAGAGCCCCCTCAGCGTGAGCTCCTGACTCCCTCCCACCTCGGGGGCCTCTGCACAGAAAATCATGAGCCTCACAGACAGATGTTTCCTCTTCTCTTGCAGAGGTTGAAGTACAGTGTGATTCATAATGTAATGAATGGGGCAGTGTCTATCTCCTCCTTAAGGGGGATCCTTGGGGACACTGGTCTTTATCTGTCCTCTATCCCCACTGTATTCATCAGGTTCTGAGGAAAGGGAATACAGCAGACACTGAGCGGCTATGTGGAGCGGGGACACAGAGTCCAAAGGGGGCTCAAGGCAGCTGTGCAGTCATGTGCCTCTATCACTGGAGGCCTGGGCTGGGCTCCGCATGACTGGCTCCTGCAGAACCCTTCAGGAGGAGAGGGGAGATCCTGCAGGAGCTCGGAGGCACTAGTAGGGGGAAAGCTGTCAGAGCTGGTGATCTGGGGAGGAGGTACTATTCCCCACCCTCCTCTCTGCATGGTCATCCTTCATCGCTGGCATGGGACGAAGCAGGAGTCAGGCCCATAGGTGGGCCAGAGTCTGTAGGGCCCCAATGCGAGCCAGCACTGAGGCAGGAGAACTGGGCCTCCGAGCACAGATTCTGTTCCTGGGGGCATCACCTGGACTTGCCCAGCACACGGCACAGAGCTAGGTCCCCGGATGCTGCACCCCACTGAGTACTCTCCCTACTCCCCTTGGGACCTGACCCTCTCTCCTCACATCACAGTGCCAGCCTCACTGTCCAGCCCACCTTCTGCCCCCACGTGACTGTCTCTCCCACTTAGGATCCTGCTTGCTCAGCTGGACACAAAAGGGTCTGTCTCTCTGGCGGCCCCTAGTTTTGTTTGACACTCGCTTGGCACCTGCCATCCTCCTGAATGCCCAATCACCACATGGGGACCTGGGACAGAAGATGACCCAGTTGAGCTCTCAGGACAGCCAGGGGCCCCGCCAAGCACTCCCCCTCCTTCCCCTTGTTGGACACAATGGCATCTGGTTTGGACTTACTGAGCACAAGCTGGGGCGCCGTTGACCTCAATGAGCCAGACCTTCAGCTCCTCGTCCACCATGAAGTCGAAGCCAAAGAGCTGGAAGCTCTGGTACGGGAGGTGCCTGGTGCTGATGGCCGGCTCCACGCTCAGGAGGCAGCTCCTATGGGGCACAGGGCGACAGCCTGCTGAGATGCGGCAGAGCCGAACAGAGCGCAAGTGCTGTGCTCGGGAGCTTTGCCATCCAGTGTGTATAAAAATGGGTTGCAACGGAATTCTTTTTTAAAGAAAAACGTATCACCAGAATGCTACCTATCAAGCAGCTTGTTAGAAATACATGCAACCACTCAGTTCTCCCAGGCAAAAGCTGCTGTCCCTGTCCCAGGCCCTGGAGAGCATGGCATGGAGTCTCTGGGGCCTCTACAGATTCAGAGTCGTCTGAACAGAGGAAGCCCGGGCTGCTGTCATTTCTCTATGACAAAGAACGCTGGTCCTGTTAGTGTCTTTCACTAGCTCTAGCTCTACCGCCAAGTTAGTACTAATTAAAAATTTAAGAGCTCAGCATACTCAAATCAAATGCTGAAATACAATGGACCCATGACTTTCTAACTCAATTCATGCCCCAGATCTGGTTCTGGCTCACCTCATCAGTTGAAGGCTAGGGCTCCTCTACAGCCCTCAAAGCCTCGCTGCTAGACAGTTCACAGGGTCTTCAGAGAGACACTGGCCCAGGATTTCTCAGTTAACCCCACGCAGGAAAGGCTACTGTCACATCTCTTGTAGAACCCTTTAAGGCTTAAATCTGTATCGGGGACCATCTGGAAGCACAAGCTGCCAGCATTCAGGAAATAACTCCAGACTTGGGGTGTAAATTAAGCTGAAATTCCAGTCATAACGCTTTGCTTTATGGGGTTAATTGAGAAATCCTGGGTGAGTGTCTCTCTGAGGACACTGAGCTCCATCTGTGGACAGGAGTGAGGCTTTGCAGGCTGTAGAGGAGCCCGAACTCCAAATGGCCACTCCAAGTGTTGACGGTATTCACTGAGATACTTACGTAAGGAACATACACAACTTCTGGCACCAAGGAGTATTTCATAAACGTTTCTCTTACAAAAAAGCAGACCAGAACTATAGCTCTGAGGCATAGTACCTGCCCAGCAAGCACGAGGTCCTGAGTTCAAGTCCCAGTTCCCTCCCACCAAAAAAGCATATTTCATGAATTGGCTATTAATGATACTAATTACAAATCTATTATATATGAGCAACAAATAACTGTTATCTACTACAAATATCCCAGAACACAAGCTATTTCTATTTAGTGAATTTCTCTGATTTTTCCCTACACCAAATGTTGGGCAAAATATTTATCTTACTGAAGGTGTTTTGATGCCTCAGACTACCCGAGGAACCTGCCCCTCTATACAGCTGTGGATTGGATTTAGAAGGAAAAAGATACAGGAAACCCACTCCCAAACCAGCTCCCACAGGACTAAGTCAAAGATGTATCTTTACAGGTAATTTTTGCCTCTTAATTTCTCTGCAAAAAACACATTATATAGATGTTTAAACCTTTTTAAAAGGTCTTAGACAGAGAATCAAAATTTCTCCCATTTGTCTATAAATCATATGGGCAAGGAACACATTCTCCCCTCCCATACTAGGGACTGAGCCCAGCGAGCATTAACAGACCTACTGACTACATCCTGGCGCTGTTTGTTTGCTTTGGTTTTGCGTTAGAGTCTTCCTAAACTGCCTAGGCTGGCCTCAAACTTGTGATCCTCCTGCCTCAGCCTGCCAAGTAGCAGAGATTATAGAGATGTATTACCATTCCCACCACACACTCTGTTTAAAACATAGTGCTTGTAATCCTAGCAATTTGGAAGGCTTAGGCAGGAAAATCATCTGACCTCAGGAGTTCAAGATCTGCTTGACAATTTAGCAGCTTAGAGAGACCCTGTCTCAAAATAAAAAATAGGAAAATAAAAAGTACTGGGGTTGTAGCTCAGTGTGAAGCCCCTGGGTTCAGTCCTCCATATTGCTCCTGCCCCAAACCACAAAAACACAGCAGCCTATCTCCACACTGCCTGAGAATAAATATATTTAATTAATTTAAGAGAATAAATATAGTTTAATTAAAATGTCCTTTAAGCCAAGAATGGCGGCACATACCTATAATCTCAGCACTCTTAGCACTCAGGAGGGGAGGCAGGAGGATTGTGAGTTTAAGGCCCCCTTGGGCTACACAACAGGTTGGAGGCTGTCCTGGACTACAGAGTGAGACATTGTCTCAAAAATCAGAAAACAACCAGGCACAGTGCTGCACACCTCAATCCCAGTACTTGGGAAGCTGAGGCAGGAGGATCGCTGTGAGTTCAAGGCCAGCCTGGGATACAGAGTAAGTTTAAGGCCAGCCTGAATTAAAATGAGACAGCCTGTCTCAAAACACCAAAAAGAAAAAAGGAAGAGGAGGCAGGAAACCTTTAATATAATTAATATAATATAATTAAGAAAAGTTTAAGAGAAAGAGAGAAACCAAGAAAAGAAAGGCAGAACAAATGAAAGCAGCAGTACACTCTGACACATAAAGGAAAAACACTAACTACTATGTTCTATCTGTTGGAAATGCAAGATAAACAATTCAGCGTAGAGGACTGTTTTCCTCTTCAGCGACCTCACAGAGAGCATCTTTTGGGCTGGAGCGGGGAGCCAGGGAGAGGCTGGCTGGACAAGAGAAGCTGAGTGCTGGGAGCCCCAAAGCAGCAATCTTACCGACACACTGAGGGCAGGGGGAGGTGTGCTGCCTGCAGACCCGTCACCTAAACCACTCAGCCGGTGCCACTCTGGGCCATCAACAGTCCTGGAGAAAGGACTCCAAGCCTGAGTGATGCTACTGGACTCCACGTAAGAACACACCGGAGAATAAGTCTGAGTCACTGTGACTCAGTGCCAGTGATACCATGGATGCACAGACGAATGGAAGGCATGGGGTCCCAGGAACAGAGTCCCCATTGCTTGGTTAATAACAAGGGTCTCCACAGTGCCATGGCAGGGACAGTCTCCTGCACAAACAGTCTTGGGCCAATGACCTATCCTTGTAGAACAACATAACATCTGACATACAATAGTGCCATACAGATTACAGAGCTAAGCTATCAGGAGTAAAACCCAGATGTTCATTAAGGATAGAAGAGATAAAGTCTGGAATGTTCGCAGGACGGAGTATTACACAGCCACACAGGACGAACTACTGCTCCTGGAGTGTGATGAACGAACGTCACACACAACGTCCAGAAAGGCTGAACGTAAAAGAGGGGCTAGCGCATAATTCCATTCCCATCAGGTTTAAAAACAGGCAAAGAGGAGTCTGTACTGATAACGGTCAAAGAGTAGCTCTCTGGCAGGAAACACATGTGTTGAGGGAGTTCAAAGGAGTCTTCAGGATCCTGTAAACAATTTTTTGGTGGTACAGGGCCTTTACATTGAGCTGTAGCCATAGCATTTTTAATTTTATTAATTAACTGATTAATTAATTTTTTTGGTACCAGGAATTGAACTTAGGACCTCACGCTTGCCAGGCAGGTGCTCTGTCATTGAGACACATCCCCGGCCCACCGTTTTTTATTTTGAAGCAGGGTTTCACTAATTTGCGAAGCTGTGCAGGCTGGGCTGGAACTTGCGATTCCCTTCCCTCAGCCTCTCAGATTTCTGGAATTACTGGCATGTACTGCCACCCACACAGCTGTAAATGTTTTATATCTTGAGTTGCATCATAGTCAACTAAGTGCATGTATAATGCACACTCACTAAACTGTACACTGTGCATTTTATTCTCAGCAGGGGTGGTGGCATATGCCTGTAATCCTAGCATTCAGGGAAGCTGAAAAATCAATGAAGCCAAAAGCTGACTTTTAAAACATATTTAAAGAATCAATGACTCTCTAACCACTTTACCCAAGAAAAACAGAAGGAAAATATAAACTTTGATATCAGAAATGAAAGAAGTGATTTTATCACATATCCTACAGATACTAAAATAACTTTCACCCAGAAATCAGACAATTTAAGTGGAACAATTCCTTGACAAGCATAAACAAAGGGCTTTCAAGAAGAAACACATAAAACAGAAAGGGGACAATTTAGTTACCTTATTATATGCTTGATTTGTTGTAAGATACTAGTTTCCAGGGTGATGTTCAAAGCACTCATCAGGTACCGATTGAACTCCTCGAAGAACATTTCATTCCCTTCCTCATACTTCCCATAGTTCTTTGAGTACTCCTTTTGGATGCAGTGATTGGTCAAATGGCAGGTCTTGTCTTGGAAATTATCCACGTGATATGGTTCTGAAGCAGTTCGGAGAACACCCTCTCTATAGAGGTAGATATTATACTGATGGTCCACCAAGACCCAGCTTCTGCAATTCAATAAAAACACTGTTGTACTCAGATTGCTATAGTCTCTCTCTCTCTCTTTTTCTCCCCATCTCTCCATTTTGAATACATTTTGGAGTAGGGAGGTAACGTAAGCAGAGGAAGAAGGTAGATTCTAAAATTACATGTGGCAAACTCTCAGTTAGCCAAAATTGTGGATTATCACTATAAAGAAGCAAACAGAACATTTCATCATATATAACAAGGAGACTTAAATCCATTAAAAACAAACAAACAAACAAACAGCACTGGCTAAGGATATAGCTCAGCAGCACAGTGCCTGCCTCGCAAGCACAAGGTTATGAATTTGATTCCTGGTATCAAAAAACCAAAAATACCCCTGGTATTTGGAAGAGACTGGATGGGTCTTGAGGTTAATCTGTAAAACCCCCACTGGCCATGTTTATGCTTTCATATCTGGAGAGGAAGACCGTACATCTTTAAGCCATCTGACACAGGGCTGCTGTTCAAGAAGCAGGAAGTCTTAGAGTGACATCAAGTCATTCTGAATGAGATCAAGGGGACAGCGATTCCCAGTGAGACAGCAGCAGGGCCAAAGGCAAGCAGGGAAGAGGGCTGGTTAAATGCAAAAAGCACCCCACAACCTCTTCTTCCATAGCAGGCGTTTGGCTCAGAAACTTTAAAATCCAAAAATCTGAGGTAGGTTTATAAAATTCATCAAAAGTGGGACACAAGTAATAAAGCAGTGTGCGGATTATCTGGCAGGGTCACGCAACCTGCTGCCCTGGAATTTATTTGTGTATGTTCTATGTGCAGCTCTCAGCTCCTTCCAGGAGTAAGTTCAATACCTGTGTGCTCTTCGCTGTGGAGTCACGAGTTATTTTCATAAAAGCCATTTAACCGCATTTTATTTTCATACATGTGCATGTGCGTGTGCGTGTGTGTGTGTGTGTGTGTGTGTGTGTGTGTATACACACATATGCATAAAGAGGATAAATAATCTTTTTGGAAAATTTCTTAGAAAGAAGAGTGAAATAAAAACAGGAAGTTGGGTACAAAAAGCTCCGTGCCACTCAGCTCCATTCAATTTCGGTAACTGGTAAAACTGGCAGATACTTCTTTCACATGCATACCCCGCTTATCATGCTCTTTTCAGATGAACAAAGGCAAAAGCCGCGGACAGGGCAGTGTTACCGGATGTCAAACTTGCGGTGCCCAGGCTCCAGAAGCAGAGGGCGCTCAAGGTATTTCTGGATCACATGCACCTGGCCCTGGTTGTCTATGAAATCCAGAAGCTCTGCTGCCTCTGAGGAGATGAGGATGCCTTCGCCTAACAGAGCAAAAACAAAACAGAAGTGGTCTACCTCGTCTCACAAGGAAAAGCTGTCTGTAAAGCCAGGAAGGAAACACAGACTGCACAAAACCAAAACCAAACTAAACCAGACCCCCACAGGAGGTTCTCACTGACCTGCTCACTTTTCTTTCCCCTTCCCTGGCCTGCAATTGCTCTCTCTCTCCCTCTTCTCTCTCCAATTGCACCCAAAGTATCCAACTTCCTCCATGTAGGAGCCCTAGCTCAGCGAGTTGTGACCACATTTTACTTGCACTGGCATTTGAAGAGTCCAAGCACTTTAAATGCTGCCCTACCCATCACTGACTATAATAAAGACTAAATTGCCTATAATCAGTGAGTCCATTTCTAACACTGTATCCTTTATAGGGAGATTTAGGGAATAAAAGCAAATATGTTCTCTGCAACATTGTAACAAAAATTTAGATATATTCAAAGTTCCCAATAATGTCAAATAAGTGGAACCAAGTCCACTTGCCTGAGATGTAACACACCATAAAGTCCGCCCTTTTAGCACACATAAGCAATGGTTTGATGCATGCTCCTGAATTCTGCAACCACTGATTCAATCTGATTTATCATCACCCACTCCAGAGAGCTCTGTACCCATAACTGATCACCCTCCATGCCCTGTTCACGCCAGTCTCTGCCAAACACTAACCTACTTTCTGTCTCTAAGCACTGCCTCTTCTCTTGTGGTTTCATATAAACCACAACATAAAAGTACTCGGCCATTGTGTTTGGCTAATTTCGCTAGCACATTTTTCAAAGTTCATTCATGTCCCAGCATGTACTGGTACTTTACTCCTTTTTATGGTAGTATTTCTCACCCTTTTATTAATTCATTATTTGGACACCTGAGTTGTTTGCACTGTTGTCTGGCTCTTAGTAATAATGCTGTGACAATTCACAGACAAGTCTTTGTGTAGACATATGTTTTAAATTCAGTGCTGTTGTGATCTTGGTTGGAATTATGTTAAACCTACAGACCGTTATGGGGTGAGCCAACACCTCCACACTTTTGAGTTCTGCGATCCATGAATATGGTATATCTATCCATTTTTTAAAAGGTGTTCTTTGACCTCTTTCATGATCATTTTGTAAATTTCAGCATTCAGAGCTTCTATATGTTTTGTTAAGTTTATACCTAAGCCTCTTACTTTCTCTGGGGTGCCTGTCAATGCCACTGTTTTAACCACTTAATAGTTTACTCCAAACATCACTCAGGGTACTATCATGCTATTTATATACTATCTCGAGCATTGCTTGGGCAGGAGTCACTTCAGCTAGTCAATTCTTGCACTGAAAAAATTTGATAAGATTGTCATCTTTATATTTCCTGTTATCTTATAAAATTCAATGAAAAAATATGCACTTTTTGGCCACCGTGTATTTAAATAGTTGGAGTGGTAAATGGTTAATTAGCATGTCATTGTTAACACAACGTGGAGCTCACATTTTAGTTCTGAGGCCCTTTCATCCATGCTTTGGGCTCACAGCTTGTCTCACAGTAGGTCTCATACTTCCAGTGCAACTGAATTCAGTTCCGTTTTTGTTAATTTAAGGATCCATCTTTCCTTAGAATCCCCTTCTTTCTCATAGTTTGTTTCACCACTTGATTAGGTTCTTGAACAAGAAGCTGTGTTTGAAAACCTCCCTTCTTTTTTCTTTTCTTTTTCCGGCACTGGGGATTGAACTCACGACTGTGCACTTGCAAGGCCGGCGCTTATGCCACTGAGCTAAATCCCTAGCCCCCTTCTTTTTTCTTGTATATCACTCAATTTGTTTCATTCTCTCTAGGAACCACACTCAGATTTTCTGGTAACTCTTTATTTCCAGTTGCCAATTCTGAAATTCAGAAATTAATCTCTCTTCCTCTGCACCACCTTGCATCAACCTCCAGAATGATCCCCCTAAAGCACCTTCTCCCCTAAAGTCCTGAAACAACCTCCACTGCCTACAAGGCCTCGCCCTACATCCCTCACCCCCTTCCCTCCCCTCTGCGCCAACCTTATGCCTCTTATGTAAACTATTTCTTTTTGGAAAATAATATACCTAATGCCAGTAGGTTGCAAAAACATAAAGAGATACACATTTTTATAGCTTTAAAAAATCCTTATCATTTAAGCATATAACATTAAATGACAACGTTAAGCATAGTCTTAGTTCCTAACCTAATTGTTCTTAACTTTTCATATTAGCAAAGCCTATTTCAGTCTCAGCAAACTCACTGCATATTCTTCTATTTTTTTTTTCACTTTATACAGTCACTTTTGGGCTGGGGATTTAGTTCAGTGGCTCAATCGCTTGCCTGGTAAGCACAAGGTCGTGAATTCAACTCCTGGTAGCAAAAATATGTATATTATATATAACATATTATATATAAAGAGAGAAAGTCACTTTTCCTTTTTCAATAATTTCATAACTTACATTAATGGCTGAAAAAATACTCTATGCTGCAGAAGTTAAGAAAAAAGTTACACATCTCTTTACTGATTGCTGGACAACAGGATTGTTTCTAAATGACGTTATGCTATTACAGATAACACAATGCTGTGGATCACTCATTGGTTTTAAATATTACTTTGGATGGGGCTGGGGATTTAGCTCAGTGGCATAAGCACCTGCCTTGCAAGCAAGCAGTTGTGAGTTCGATCCCCGGTACCGATAAAAAGGAAAAAGACAAAAAAAAAAAAAATACATTACTTTGGAGTAAATTTTCAGAAGTGAGATCACTGGGCCAAATGACACGGGTCCTCTACGACTCTCCTACCTGTGTCACTGCACTGCTTTTGCCAAGGGCTGGGAAACACCGCTAAGCGTGTGGGTCCCACAAACAGCAGCAATGTCACTAGTGCTTTTCATTTTCTTCCTGCACAGTGACCGATAAAACCAAATTTATTTAGCACATTTCGGCTCCTGGTGTAGCATGTGTCCCTGAGTCTGTCAACTCCTTTCTTATCTTGCTTTTTCATCCGTATCCTCATTCTCTAAACATGGAGAAACTATGAGGGAATTTTGGAGGGGAAGCCTGAAAAAGCTTTCCCTTTCTTTTTTAATCAGCTTGCTCTAGCTCCCATTTGAACTTTTAGCATTTCTGAAACTAGAGGCAGCAGTATCAGCCTTCTTTCTGACTAGGCTGCGGGCCCACGAGGCACACGAGCAGGTCTGTCTCTTTTGTTCCTGTATCCCCAACACTCACTCATCAGTCAACACCCACTCAGCACACACACCAAGCCTTTGCCAGGCGCTGGCCTAGCACAGGGAGACGGTGCTGGGCACCGATGTGACATGGCACTGGCTGTGCATCAGTAGGATTTCTGTCTGCCAGGCTGCATGTAAATAAGCAGGACAGGTGAGAGGTAAAGGTGGCTCGGGTCACACATGGGTGGTGAGCTGGGACCCTGTAGCTGATACTGGGTGTCATCTGAAGATTCAGCCAAATTATACCAAGCATTTGTGGAACAAGAACCAAAGCCATTCACTCATCCTACTGGCTTCATTTCATAGCTCCCAAGCAAAGTTAATAGACATCACTTATCTCCTCAACCCTTAAAGCAACAATTCTTTTTCAGATTTTCTTCTCTATTTATGTCTCCCCTTTGCTTAGGGTCCTTCTGTGCCTTGTCTTGGTGAGGGTCCAGGGACCAGGGTCCTCAAAAAAGCCATGCTGACCCCAAGCTCAAATCCACAAGTGGAATCCAGAACGCCATAGATGTCCATTACTTCTTCCAATTCCCCCTTTACCATCAGCACCAAAGTAGGGGACAGTACTTAAGAAGAAGTCAGATCGACTTCTGGGAGAACATGGTGGATAGATAACAGCAGCTATGGAGACTCTCTGAGAAAGCCAGCTTATAATCCAGGAATGGTGCAGTGTGAGGAGTCGACCCAGGAACAAACTAAACTAGAGAAACCAACTGGAAATGCAATCCTGGTGCTATAACGGGAACAGATAAAATCTCAATGCAGAAGCTGGAACCCACGTTTCTGGAAGCCGCGATTTGAATTTCTTGCTGCCCCAGCTGTGTCTGAATCAGCACAGCAGGGACAGAGAGGTGAAACCTCTGACCGCGGGAATTGGTGAACGGACTTGAGAGTGGGACTGGTGGGGAGCCCTGCATCAACCTGCGGTGAGTTAGAGGAACAGGGACCCTTCCATAGACTAGAAGGCTTCAACAGAGGACATTCTGGGACCGGGCAGACTAGCTGGTACAGGACACTGCAGTGACTTTAGTAACATATTCCCTCTCAAGCGGGATTGTTAGGGAGCCCTGACCTGGGTGATGTCACGGACTAAGACCCAGTAGGCTAGCCCAAACCAAGCTCCAGCGCCTGGCGGTGCACCCTAGCAGTGAAGCCTTCAATAGGTTGACTGACCTGGAGGAGCAGGCACGCAGAGGCTGCCCAGGTCTGTGTCTGCCTAGTACACTGCAGTGGGCGGGAACACCTTGCCAGCACAATTCAAACAAACTGTAACTGACAAAGAAAGAAACTGGGCCTCCTATGTAACGCTTGTATGGAAGGAACAAAAAATATGGGAAGAGGGAGCAACAAGAAAGGGTCCTCAGTCCCCAATCCTGAGAACTCTGATCCAGGAAAGGTAAATGCAAAGGAGAATGAGGACAGAAAACATGCAATATCAGACACGGCACCAATAGACACAAAGCGGTATAGACGAGTTCAAAAGTGAAGTATTTAACGAAATAAAGCAAGATATAAGTAGAATAATTAGAGAAATACTAAGCACCACCCAAGAAAAAACAGATGGTGGAATGGAAGAACAGAAAAAAAGGGGAGAATTGTTTGATGGAGAAAATAGAGAAAACATAGAATACGTGAAGCAGGTTCAAAGAGATTACCAGGAAACTAAAAATTTTATTGAAAGCTGGCATAACAGCTTCAAAGAAACTAAGGATAGATTATCTGAACTGGAGGCCAGATTTGTAATGTGGGAGCATGAAATGAAAAACTTCTTAAAAATAACAAGAAAACAAACAGCAATGATACAAAGGCTAGAAGATGATAAGAGGATCTATAACTTAAGAATTAAGAATGTAAAAGAAGAAGTAAGGACACAAACAAATGAACTACAAAAGCTATTCACAGAAATAATCCAGGAGAATTTCCCTAATTTAGCAAAAGGTAAAGATACTCAGATGTATGAGGCATACAGGACGCCAGCCACCTACAACCCAAACAGAAAAACACCCAGGCATATAATAATCAAAATTCCAGTAATCCAATATAAGAACAGAATACTAAAAGCCATCAGAGACAAGAAACAGATCACTTACAAGGATCTTAAAAGCCATCAGAATTACAGCAGTCTTCTTGGCACAAACCATCAAATCATGAAGAGTGTGGGGGGAAATAATTCAGGCTTTGAAAGATAATAACCTCCAGCCAAGATTGATATATCCTGCACAACTGTCCCTGGAAATTGATGGAAAAACAAGGTGCTTCCAGGATAAACAGGAACTAGGGGAATTTGCAACCACCAATTCAACTCTACAGAGAATACTGCAGGACATTCTAAAAAAAGAAAAATACCAAGATTCCAGAAACAGTGGCAGAGAGGCCACAATGAATGGAGCAGAAAGCAAAATGAAGAAGACAAACTGACAACTAATGACAGAAAAAGAGCTCAACAGAAATGAGGCAGAGAAGGTTGGATGGTAGGAACAGCTATTTTGGAGAAAACAAGACATCATAATAGCTAGTGCTGATTTAATATCATCTTGTTTTGAAGTCCCATCAAGTTTTTGTTCTTCTGTCTCCATCCGTCATAACACGTTGTATCTTATTGGATTTTATTATCTGTGATAATATAAACAAAAACTTTTATAGACAAGGAAATTATACAGAAACCACTGTTCATTTTCTGTTAGTTGGTTCTAAATACCCTGTAATACTGTCATTCTCTTGAACGGTTTTACATTGTCTTGATATGTTTGATGCTACAGTATACGCAGTTATACTCAAAGATTTCAAGGAAAGAGACACTATGGTAACTACTTTTATGTCAGGATATCTGGTGGTGAAACACTATTTTACTTAAATGGTTGTTTTGAAAAAAAAAAAAGAAAGAAAGAAAGAAAGAAAGAAGAAGTCACAAGAGAGGAAAAAGAAGTAGGCGAGGTACCTGGCTGGTGGCAAGAGTCCCACTCTCCCACTTTCAGGAGATCCCAGGTGATGCCCTCCTGTCTCATGGCTGGTAGAAACGGATAGAAATGAGGACCAATGGCCAGATGGTCTTCCAAGGCAATAAAAGAAGTAAATTCAAAATAGAATAGTTTTAAAAAGAGTATATGATGGTAAGTATAGAGAGAGACCACTTATGTGCTCATCACACTGGGCACTGCCTCTATTTTAGGGCTATTCTAAACTTCATCCCCTCTATGCAATCACTCAACACATAGTTACTGAGTGCCTACCAGCACACAGAGACAAACAAGAAAGAAAGTCTGGGCACATACGGAACTTACAGTACAACCGGGGAGATGGCCAGATATGTAATATAGACCTGGGAAGAGATTAGTCAGAAAGGAAAAACAAAGCAGGCTGAGGGGGCAGAAAGCAATGACACAGAGGCTCAGACTACAAAAGCCTTCGCCTGCCAGGCAGCATCTGTGCTGAGAGCCCACATAAGCACATTCCAGGTAGAGACGAATTCAGCGCCCTGGAGGGACACAAGCAGTCAGTCCGTGGCGAAGGCACAGTGAGCAGGGCCAGAATAGAGGGAGATGAGATCAGGGATACGAGGAGACGCCCGGTGGGTAGGCTACATCAGGAGTCTGGAGTTATTCTAATTGCATTAGGAAGCCAGCTGGTGAGCTGTAGGCAGGAGATAATGCGATCAGATTTATGTTTTTAAGACATTACTCTGAGAGGAGAACTGGCTGGGAGCAGACTATGTAATTATACAGACCAGGGAGAATGGTGGCTCTGATTTAAAGTGGGAGCAGAAACAAAGAGCAAGAGAAGAGTCGAATTCAAGAACGGAACGTATTCTGAAGGTAACGCTAGCCAGACTTGTTAAGGCGTTAGGCACAAATGTAAACAGCTGTCAAGGATGCTGGGGTCTTCAGGGCTTGGGTAAATGGTGGGATCATACGCTAAACAGGAAGAATGAAAGAGAAGCAGGCTGGGGTGGCCCAAGTTGGGAGGCAGCGAATAGTGGTGTAACAGACATTAGGTTTGAGATGCCTCTTACAGACAGAGAAGGTGCTCTTGGACCCAGAGCTTAAGGTAAGACCTGGAGTGGAGACAAACATGCAGAGGCACTGCTACATAGAGGAACATTTAAATCTACACAGGGTCTCTACCCACAGTGATTCCAAACAGGATAGAGAGCTCTCATCTACGTCCTTAAAATCTAACGTGCCACTGAGCAAAGCCCAGCAGAAGCCTACAGGGCACAGAGAAGACCACAGCCACAGCAACTCACCTTTGGCACCAGCCGATGACTTTGCAATCCAAATGTTGCCTTCCCCGTCCTCTTTCTTTCTGTTATAAGAAGCCAGGAAGAATTCTCTTTCATCTGTCCTTGAGTTATGGACAGGCGGCTGGATTCCATTCTGCACTGGAGCCACAGGGGTCTTGAGGTTAGTTGGATATATGACATAGGACTCGGGGAACCAGGTACAGGACTCAGCCAGCTCCGGGCTTGTCTTGATTAGCCTGGTAGATGACAGAGAGTCAGTCTCCTTTCTCAGTGCTCTATGTTCTATCACTTGATTCAGAGAGGTGAGCTTCTCCAGGAGATAAAACACAGCCCAGTCTCTTCCTTAACCCTCTATTTGCTCTTGGCTTCTCTACACAGATCTGTAACACACTAAGTTAGGTGCTTAAGGCCTACAACTTTAGCTGTCCAAAGAAGCAACTTGACAATCCTCAGCCCACCCCTTTGCAACAAATATGTTGCATCTGAGCCAGACTCATACTAAAAAATGAAGCAGAAGGCTTGGAAAGAACTTCAGTATCTAGCTGAACACTACCTTGGCCCAACTCTCTGGGGAAGGAAAGGATCCTTAAGAATCTGAGTATTTTTAGTCTTCATTTCTTGCTTTTATCTCAGCCCAGCTTTGGTGATAGTATAAAGAAGGAATTTTTCTATTGGGATGGAGGCACCAGAGTGCCTAATAAGACAGACCCCCTGTTCCCAAAACAACGAAACAGCATGAAGTTCAAGTTAGGCCCTGGGAAAGGCCCTGAGCAAACACAAAAGCTTTCCTCTATATCTGCTCTTAATCAGACCCCAGAGCTGGAGGTACTAGAACCCCATTTTATAAATGAGGAACCAGGACACCAAGAAGTAAACTCCCCCCAGATCATAAAGCAAGCAAGTACCAGCCAGGATGCAAGCTGTGAACTCCCAAGTCCCAACTGTGAATTTCCCCCTACCCCAGGGATCAGAAACAGGAGGGCAGACTTTTAGAGATGTAAACAGGTATGGAGGGGTAGGGAAGAAAAAAAAGAAGGGGGTGAAAATAACCCAAACATGTTACATGCATGTGCCAGTGTATCAACATGAATCTTACTATTCTGAATTATTAATGACCTTTTAACTGAAAATATAGTGAGACAAATTATTTTATTTACTTATTTATGTATGTCTGGAACCGGGGATCAATCTCACAACTTCATGCTTGCCAAACAGGTGCAGTGCTGCTGAGCTAAACCCCTGGTCCCTGACAAATTATTTTAAAACAAAGAACTAAAAAGATACTTTTAATCCCAAAAAACTAACAATCTCCAGTTTAGCTACAATGGGTCACAGAATACAAACTCTTTGTATCTAACATCAGACTGATTCAAAATATGAACAGTAATAAATATTTTCCCCTAGCTTCAGATGAGTTGCAACATAGAAGACACTGTTGAATTTCTACTTTGAATATGCTTATATGAAAAAATATTGTCAAACCGCAGTCTAAAAAAATGTCAAATTCACGGTGCAGGTATTTTTGAGTATTTCTCATCTGTCAAAGAATTTCATCTACCTGTAAAACGTTACTTCCTGTTAAGACAGTCAAGACTTAATGATACTGAGTTAAAATATGGATTTACCGGGATTTTAATAGATTTTCTTTTTTTACTTCATTTCTACTGCATGATACATATTGGAAACATTTGCTTCCTTGCACTGTACGATACATATTGAAAACATTTATTTTCACAGTTTTCTGAAGCAGACTCTATAAAAAGCAGCAAGAATATAGTTGTTTAAATGATTCAGTATATACTTGCAAGCGTGACAATGATTCACCAGTTCATGAAATGGGTAAAAAGAACAGAAGACAATGCTTTTAATGATACGTGCTCTTTGCCAATACTTACTGATGGTGAAGTGAAAGAGTTTTGCAAAGATTTACCATACTGTTAAGTCTTACTCAGATTTTCTTGAAAAGGAATGCTTTCCAAATCATTGTTTTCACTCAGTAAGTCAGTATTTAATTCAGCAATCAAAAATAAAAATTGGCAGTGTTATTTACTTTATCTTGCCCATATACTGCATATGAACAAGCTAAACATACAGAGAAGACTTATATTGACAAACTTACTACATTCATTATACTCACTACTGCTTTGAATCCAGTATCAGTAATACTCCTTTGGGCCAAGAATTGGTGAATTTACTTAACTTAGATAGATAGAATTCCACAACTGATATGCTTTTGCTCTATAAAGTCAAATCAATTGTTCTAAGAAAAGATGAATAAGTTTTGCCATCATATATATAAATATTAAAGGAAAATGACTTCTTGGCACTCAAGTTAGTTACTGAAAAACTTTAAGGTATGTTGGAACAACTTAAGGATATAAGTCTTTTTCAATCACAAATTTTTATGAAGTCTAAATTCAGACCGAGGATTTTCAGTGAAAACTTATTGTCTGAATTAAGATGTGCTAAAAATGCAAAATATGCATCAGATTTTTATGGATATCTCTTTTCATATTAATAGTATGTCAAAATGACAGTATCTTAGTTTCTTTTTTTTTCCCCCCAATTGTGCTGGGGATTAAACTCAGGTGCTTACCCAAGCTAGACAAGTACTCTGCCTCCAAGCTACACCCCTAGCCCAGTATTTTGGATTTATATGGTTACATGAAATAGATTGTTAACCTAACTGTAGTTGTTTCTCAGCAATTATTTTATCAGGAAGTTGAAAAAACTTGTGTGGCTGGCATTCTCTTTTTGTTGGACAGCGTTGGTCTGTAAGCTGACCTCCACCTGGAAGACCTCAGTTCCTGCCCAGAACCAAGCCCAGGCCCTCACGGCCTCCTGTGTGTTTTTCATCTTCATATCGGCTCATTCAGAAAGCAATGGTAAACTGAGGTTCATTCAAATCTACAAATGAGTAATGGTCAGAAGTAGAACGGAAAGCCTCCAACCTGCCAGGAGAAGAAAAGCCCCCAGGCTCTGAGACTGTGGCCTTGGACCTTGAGGAACTTCAGAAACTCCCTGCAGGGGCAGGAGGAAGGGGCAGGCTGCACGGGAGCCAGCACAGAACCACACTGAGGCTCTGGGACGCTGTCTGAGGGATGCAAAGTCACCCTGTCCCTGAGTCCCACGGGCACAGATTCAAACTATCCCGGCTGGACATGAACGGCTGTGGTCTTGGACAGCACAGCTGACTGTTCTGAGCTGGTGGTCTGCCCTAGGAAATGAGGAAGATTACATTTCCTCCTCTCTCAGCTCCTGCAAGCCACGCTGTCATGGGAAGGTAATACACTGGCAAAGGGAATGGTGGTCCCCTAGCATTAAGGACTCCAGCCCCTCATGGGACACTTGGAGAATGAAGGAAGCTGAGGAGGAGGAGGACAAGTCTCAGCTTGCATAAGTCGTGTCACCAGTTACAAGGTGCCATCACAGATCATGTGTCACTAGGGTCAAAGGACAAGCAGTGTCACCACACCAATCCCTGGGGGCACTGGGATTCAGCCTGGAGCTGTCCAACACTACAGGCCCTGCTGAGACCTGGTCATGATTCCAGTGGGACTCACTCCACTGCTAAGTAGGCACAGATGTAGAGCATTATGTTTTACACCATCCTCTGCTTCCTATTTATAAAAGCAAAATCCTACTTTTGTCGTTAGAGGAAAAAAATGGAAAAGACTGAATAGTTTATAAAAAATGTTAAATGAATAACCTGAATAAACATTCATATCCCACTTCTACTCCTGATTCTAATGAAATTTAAACATAAGGGCCAGGAATATAGCTCAGCGGCATAATGCCTGCCTGGTGAGGCGCAAGGTTGTGAGTTAGATTCCTGATACCAAGAAGAAAAAAAGGAAAGAAATATAAACACAAAAGCAAGCAACAGACTTCAGGAAGCCTCACGTTAGGAGCTGCTGCTGAATCATGAGAAGCCATGGAACGAGTGTGGAAGTTACCAGGGCCAGCAAGTCTGTGAGAGATGGAAATATTCCTGTGTGTACTCAATCTAGTAGCTATGGAGTGCTCAGAAAGAAACACTCCTGGGAAAATAAGCATTTTGCATGGAGTCATATTTTCCAGTGTCTTCTACCTAAAGTGATCTGCTTAGCTACACATGCGTGTTTGTTAAGCACAAGGGAAGAACCCCAAAGACCCACCACCAGCCTAACTGCAGATGCTGTATCCTAGTCACATAACAGCAACAGCAGCAGTGACAACCATGATCACAGTAAGGAGAAAAACCTTCCCTTGTATAACTGTGAAGGATGAGACAGGCAAATGGAGTTAATTCTCACAACCCTACAGTAGATATTAACACCATTTCACAGAGACGAAAATGAAGGCATAATACAAGTCAAATATGTATTACGCAGCAGGCCATTGTGCTACACACATGCCCTATGTGACACCTTATTTAAAATCCACCACTGCCTTATGGGGAAGATACCGAGACTTAGCAAGATGAGGAGATTTGTCCTGACTAATGAGATGAAGAGCTGAGACTAAATCCTAATAATCACTGCATAATGCTGTCTCCTCCCACCTTATGATAGGTCCTGGTGATATCTGGCCCTAACCCAACTGCTCAGAGATGGGTGATGATGCAAATCTCGCCACACCCTGCCCAGATATCCTTTCCAAGCAGCTGGGAGAGTTGGCTGCCAAGGGCTCGCACACAGCCTTCACCAAGGACCAGTTCCCACCCAGAAATGCCTGGAAACCCACTGCCCCACTTTTCCCATAGCCAATGGCTAATTACACTTGAGCACAGAAGCCTAGGTACTTTGCTTCTGGATGTGGCAATGCTGAATACCATTCGCTCTGGAGTTCTCTGGGATGGCCTGCAGCTGAGTCACCTCTCTGCTTGGCTCCTGCCCTGCCCTGCTGCCCTGTCCTCCCGTGGGGTTTGCCTGGAGAACTCTTCCCCCAAGAAGTCACTTGGGCAAGAAACACCGAGTCACACTCTCATTGGGAGCGTCACACAGGAGACCAAGTCTTCACCAAGCACAACACACCAACACTTAAATTGCAATTCAAGCAGCTCAGGGGGAGCTTCAGCACTGGTATGTTGCCTTTTACAACAGTAAAAGTATTTTTGCCCTTTAAAAAATCCCACAGTTTTGCACAAGGGCTTCACAGTGAACGTTAAAAACATTTACGTGAAACACTGAACAAGGAGATCTTAACACTTACTTCACTAAAGAAGCTTTGCGACACAGTTTGTCAGCCCCCCTGTAGTAATTCACCAGCTGCAGCAGCCCAGGCTCATGACCTACAAGGAAAGAGGAGGCTCAGAAGGGAACCAGACAGGTGGGAGCGAAGATGTCAGCACCCACCAGCAGACAGAGAACAGATGTGTGGGACCCGGCTCAGCTTCAGAAGCGCTGGTTGTCAGAAATTGTGTGTCCTCTGCCTGCTTTCTCTCAGGGTCCTTCCCGCAACTCTCACCCCCCTCACAGGGCCTGATTTCATAGCCACATCGCAGGTCTGCTGAGGATTGCTGTCACTTTTTGTTTTGTGCTAGATTTTTTTTTTAAAACTGTTCATTCATTTGTTTTTACTATTGTCAGAGTAGATCAGGGATATTTCCTGTTTCACCTCTCCTGGAACCTTCTCGTCTCTTGGTACATTCAGACTTATCAATCTCTATACAGGAGGTTACCTTAATTGAGTCCTATTTCCACATCCCCAACTTGCTTTCAGCAGACACTAAAGAAGGTAGCAGATCCGTGATGCTGCTGGTCTTGGGCACAGTTAACTCTGCAAGTTTAGAGGCCACTGGGTAACAAAGGAAGGCAGTGGACAGGCCGTGTCTATAATGTCAGAAGTTTTGGGAACTTTCTTCTGTGCCCCATACCTCAGGGAACCTCACTGGCAACAGCTCTGCTTACACAACCCCTTCTGTATGAAACTGGAGCAGGGGCTGCGTGTGCACTCAGTGCGGTAAAGCATGTGCTCAGCATATGCGAGGTCCTAGGCTCAATTCCCAGCAGCATACAGTGATAAAATAAAATAGACAAGCAGAGCAGCAAGGACATGAAATTATATTTTTATTTCAAACAAACTTTTTGTTTAAAATCTTAAGATGTGCTGCATTTTCAGTAGCAAAAAGACCGAGCCAAGGGATTTTGAGTTGATGTCAGAGGGGGAGACTCAGTCACGTGAGAACCACAAACCATCAAGTCAAAAGTTTCAAGCTTCACTTGGCTTTCACCATCTCCCTGCAGCAGGCAGGCCCTGATTTACCTCTGGTCAGCTACCCAGGGCACTGCCATTCCTGACCTTGACTGGCCTTTAGGAGCTTATTCCCTGGCTTTCATGCATCACATTTTAAGCAAAAGGTAAAATATTCCTAACCTTGAGGGCATTTTGGCTTCAGGATGGAGTTTTCTCTCCCATAAAAACCAAATGTTTGGGGGCTGGGGATTTAGTTCAGCGGCATAAGCGCTTGCCTTGCAAGCAGGCAGTCGTGAGTTTGATCCCCGGTACCGATAAAAAGGAAAAACACACAAAAAACAAATGTTTGCCGATCATCTGCTGAATTTGAGATGCTTGTTTAGGAATCAGACCCTGTAAGTTTCTGCTTCTCAGCCTAGTCTTAAACTGCACAGGAATCCAAACGCGCTGCCTCTTTCTGGACAGAGCCTTTTTGGTGGGGAGGGGCCTGTTTTTAATGTCAGGATTCCACCCCAGGTTTTTCCAGCCATTCGCTGCCAACTAGGAAGAGGAAAGTCAGTCGAAAAGGCAAGGGGATAAACCAAGGAGGAAATAACTTCTGCTTAACTATAAGCAGTTTTTCTTCTCCTTCTGGGGGAACAACCCTTCCTCCCCCGGGGTTCCTGAGGAAACAGTTAAACAAAAGTGAATCTCTAGACACCTTCTCTGTATTCTGAGATTTCTAGGGTTTCCAATGAGCCCTTCAACAGAGTCACCATTCTGTATCATCAACTCGTGTAACAATGAAAAGTTGTCCCCAGCACCATTCCAAAGAGAAAAGAAAAATTCAGAAGAGTTATGCCTCAATGTGGTCAAGCCTAAAAACATTGCCACACGAAACGGCCCCCAAAAGTTCCAAAGAAGCCCATCGGGGCCAGTCAATTCCAATCGGCTGATTCCCAGTACGGGCCATCCAGCTCTGACCATATCCATTTCTAAAAACCTCTGCTCTCCCAGGCATAGAACACTACTCTCCGGGTTGTCCTCTAGAGCAGAGAGACCTCTTCCTCAATCTCAACTCTCCCTTTCTGCCCCGACCTCAGGCAAGTTTGGGTAAGGAACATGGGCTCCCCAGAGGTACCCCCCTCCCTTGATGACTACGCAAAGAAGAGAGCAAGAGGAGATGCTCATATCTATGGGAGGTGAGTTGAACCTATCTGACAAGTTCTGGATTACGTCATCTGCAAAGGACTCTCCGGTCTTCTCCCCTGTCCCTTCCTACAGGCCACAATGTGGATAAGGTGCTGCCACGCCTGCTTCAACCACGTGAATGAGTAGCTACCTCAAGGAGAGTAGAGCAGAGAGGAGAACCCAGTCTCCTGCCAAACCTGCATTCCACGCAGGACTGTGAAAACATGTTCTTGGGTGACGCCAAGGGAAGGTGTACATTCAGACATCACCCCAGACTCCCCTGGCCTAGGGTCCCCTCTGAAGCTTTTGGAATCCAAAAGTCAAAATCTTCTGCCCGCCCACGAAAAGCATCGGGTAGCAGAATCCTCAGGGTTTCTGCACCTACAGCTCCCGCTCCACTCCCACGCCAGGGGTGAGGGGCGCGAGCCCGGGGGAGTAGGGCTGCGAGATGCCTCCAATCTGCAGCCTAAAGACTGCAGCCCGCAGCCCGCAGCCCGCCCTGCGCCTGGCCCGCCACCCTGCCTGGGCCCCGGCCCACGGCCCCCAAGCCGACAGCTGACGCCCCACGCTGCAGGGACAGGCTGGGGGTGGGGGTGGAGTGGCGGCAGCGGGAGCCACACGGCCACTCCAGCAAGGAAAGTCCCGAAAACAACGGCTTAGGTCCTCCTGGGTCCGTCTGAGATGCGCCGGAGAAAGCACGCGGAGCGGAAGACGGATGACCTTAAAAACAAAAGCGCTCGCTCTCCCGAGCCGTGGGAGGAGCGGCCGAGCAGCCGGGGCGGGAAGCGGGGCGAGGCTCACCCAGTCTCCCGAAAGGCAGCCGATTCCTCTCCCCCAACATCAGGTTAAACCGGGGATTGTCCCGCCTCAGCCTCTTCCAATGGCCGGTGGCAAGCAGCAGCCGGGACACCTCGGCGTAGACGCTGCTGTTCTCGTCGCGCACCACGAAGGTGTACATGGCGAAGAGACGCGCGCCCCGCCACTGCCGCTGCCGCTGCCGCCGCCGCCGCCGCCGCCGTCGCCTCCGCCGCAGGGAGGACCCTGCCAGGCCCTGCCGCGCGCTCCCGCCCCGGGCGCGCCCCTCAGGGCCTCGCCACGCCCCCGGCCCCGCGCGCCCGCTGAGTGGCCAGCGCCGCCGAGGTGCCACGCCCCCTGCCCGCGAGGCCCCGCCTTCGGCCCGTGATGCTGCGCGGCTCGGCCCCACCTCCCAGGCGCGTTCCCGAGGGTCCTGAGCCGCGCGCGACCTCTGGGGTTGCCCGGGAGCTGGGCGCAGTGGGCGCGGCCTGAGCGCAGCCCTTGACAGCTGTGGCGAGGTACTGCGGGACCTGGGCGACTTCAGGGGTCAGGCCCCGCCGGCGACGATGTGGCAAGATAATCCCTTTTTGCAGAGTACTGGTTCCTTCACCTATTTCAAAAGGACTTTGGATGGAGTGAAAACATTAAAGTTGGGACTTGTGCATGACGCGCATTATCCTTTTTGCTTCCCTTCCTCTCCGTCCCTTCGCCCCACACCCCTTTCCTCTTGCGGGGGCTTCCTGAGTGGCCCAGATTTTAGACCACGCTGCAGGCCTGGAGGAGCCGTCTTGCCCTTTTGGGCCTCTGGCTTCCCCTTCTCTGGACCTCGATTTCCCTATCACAGTGAAGGGGAAGCGGCGCTTTCAAGTCCCTTTCATGCTTTCAAGTCCCTTCCATTCCCATAGGCGCTTGCTCATTCTGCATACCCAGGCCTTCAGTGGGTTTTCCCTGGCCCTAGGGCCCTTGTTGAGAGCACAGATGGAGCAGGCGCAGAAGGACTGGGTTCGGTACTCCAGGGATGGGGGACAAGCATTGATTGGTAGGTAGCCTGTAATTATAGCTCCTCAGGAAACTGAAGCAGGAGGTTCTGAAGTTGGAGGCCGGATGGGCATCGGAGCAAGAACCTGTCTCAAAATAAAATGTGCTGGGGGTGTAGCTAGGTGATAGAGCACATGCCTAGCATGCTCTGGGCCCTGCATTCAACTCTCAGCACCAAAACAATAAAAGAGATTGAAATACAATACTCTGGTTTCCTTGCCCCTCCAGAAAATCTGCCAGGAGGTATATAGATTTGCCAGGGAGTATATTCAGTTGTCCTCTGCAGGACACAGCTCCCATTGTCCACCGCTGTTACTTACTGGGCAATGCACTTCTCTTGGCTTCCCCATCCTTGACTCTGTAAACTACTCCTCCAGAGATGTTTCTTGGGATTATCTCCCAAATAAGCCACTTGTCTTTTACTAGGAAGCCTTTCAGGGGAATTGGACAAGTTGAAGGACTCACACTACCAGATACCAAGAATGGTAAGAATTATATTTTTACTATGAACTGTAGTAATCAAAGGAGCGGGGTGTTTCAGAAACTAATCAGTGTAAACACATACACATACATATGGTGACCTGGTTTATAACAAAGGTGACCCTGCAGACAAGTAGGGCAAAGGTCAGACTTTTTGATTGATGAACTGGATCAATGATTTATAAGAAGGGTGACATCACATAGAGAAAACAAAATTAATTCGGATCCTTAGAATGCAATATATGCAAAAAGTCAGTCATAGATGCATTGTGATTTAATGCTTCTGCAGTTAAAAGGCAAAGCAATAAAGCTAAAAAATAAAAGTCATAAGGTAAAGCATGAAAACAAGAATACAAAAAAAATCTAGGATTAAAGTTTTGATGAATTGGTAATCTTGAAATTAAGCATTTTCACTTAGGGATGGGGATTTAGCTCAATGGCACAAGTGCCTGCTTGGCAACACAAGGTCATGAGGTTGATCCTTTGTACCAAAAAAAAAAAAAAAAAAAAAAGAATTTTTCACTTCATTTTGAAAAGCCATAGAATGGGATATATATGTGTGTGTATAGACATACATCAATATATATGACAAAAACTCATCTGTCATATAAAAGAAATTACAACTGACAAGCTCTTTAACAAAAGTAGTGATTTGGGTATTAATAAGAGGTCAGGACATACACCCTCAAAAAAGAGAAGATTTAGAGAAAAGTTGTATAGAAAAACTAAATAAGGAATGTGTTGGGCTAAAAAGTAAGTCCTCCTCTCATAGTTTCAGCATAAGTATGTGGGGATCACACGTCTAAATGTCTAGATAAATTTTTCTTTTTTTTTTTTTTTTAACTTTTTATTGGTACGGAGGATCAAACTCATGACCACCTGCTTGCAAAGCAGGTGCTTATGCCGCTGGGCTAAATCTCCAGCCCACAATAAATACTTCAAAGTTATAAACCAAAAGAACAAGATAATGAAAAATATCGATTTCCTGCCTTACAAATACACTGTTATAAGGATGAACTAGAAGGGCAAGATTTTTAGAGTCTAGCTGGGCATAGTGGCACACGCCTATATCCCAGCACTCTTGGGAGGCTGAGGCAGGAGGCTCTTTGCAAGTTTAAGACCAGCCTGAGCTACAAATGAGCTCAAGACCAGCCTAAACTGCATAGTGAGACCCTGTCTCAAAAAGAAAAAAAAAATAGATTTTTAGAGTCTGAATCTTGGATTCAGGCCAGGGAGTTCTCTGCCAATGGCTCCAACCCCCGCCTGTGGCCCACCCTGTTTCTCCACATCCTCTACTTCATCCCCCACTTCAGGGGGCCACGCCCGGCAGCCAGGCTCTACTCCTCATCCCCTGTCTCGACCAGTTTTGCCCTCTGGCCATGGATGAGGTCCAACCTCGGGCGAATGAAGTCAAATCCATGTAAGTCTAGAAAATAAGCTTGGCTATTGAGACAGTGAATCCTATTCCCAGGCACCTCACACAGCTAAGAAAGAAGGTGCCCTGCAGTCTCAGGTGGCCACCTCGCCCTGATGTCACACAGGAGCATCTCCTCTGCAGGGAGGAACTCGGCTAGGGAAGGTCAGAGCCTTTGCAGCTTTCTTACCTAGATTTATAGGTGGCGCTCCTGAGAAGTGAGCCTCAGAATCCCAGACTGCTCTGGCTTCTTTGTGACTTAAGACACCCAAGTGACTAAAAAGTGTTCTTCTCTGATTGTCCCTAACAGTCCCACAGTCCCTCCACGCCCTGTTACTGCAGCTACCTTGTAGCCATCCTTCTTGCTTTATTGTCTCGATCTGTCCAATTTTCCCTCAACACTAGATCCAAATCGATCTTTGTAAAACATAGAGTTTATTGCATAGAGCCCCACTGCAGACTCACAGTGACTTCATTGGAAGCAGAGTCCTCAGTTTTAAACCCACGCCCTCTCATGGAGTCTTCCCATTTTGTTTGCCACGTCCTCTCTTCCAGAGTATTTAACCCTCAAGGTCAAATTACATTATAGGGAGTCTATATTAACCCTTCCAAAACTGACAAACCACGTACTAGATAAACCATCAAATCTCTGTAAATCAAAACCATTAATTAGCCAGCGTTTTCCTTCTCATGATCTCACTGAATACAGTATTTATGATTTATTTAGCCTGAAGTCTTGATTGCTTTCAACCACTTTGGAGATAGACCTACCTTCAGGGGAGACTTTCGATCCTTGACTCAGAAGAGAAATGTACACTTCTCTCCGAAGACACCTGCATATGCTAACCACACAGTGCTAAGTGTGGCTACAAATCACTAATTCACAAGGTCAAGGATCCCCATTCAATTTTACCTCTTAGCTTCTCACACAGAGCCTGTCCCTGATGTAGTTAACAGAGAACTTTTGAAGGAGACAGAAAACTCTGCTTATAAACAGTTGATAAGATGATTTTTTTAAATTAGGAAGTTCAACAAGAAAATGACAAGCTCTCATAACAGGAAGAATTTAATCAAAGATGTCCTTTCTGCCTTTCTTGGATAAGTTGAATTTAGCAAGCTCTCCTTGCCAATCATGCTGCATTAACATTTACATGTTCCTATGGTTTGGATCTTGAAGGTCTCCTAAAAGACCCTGTGTTAAAGGCTTGGTCCACAGGGTGGTGATGGGAGGTGGTGGAACCTTTAAGAAATGGAACGTAAGCTGAGGATTTAGCTCAGCAGTTCAAGCACCTGCTTGGTAACTGCAAGGCTATGAGTTTGATCCCCGTTAAAAAAAGAAATGGTACCTAGTGGGAGGTTTTTAGGTTACCAGGGATGTGTCCTTGAGATGGGTGGGTGGTTTTTGTTCTGCTGTATGCTTCTCACCATAGGAGCTATAAACTCCCAAACTATATGCCAAAATAAAACTTTTGTCTTTATCAGCTGATCATTTCAGGTAGTTGTCAGAGTAACGAAAGCTGACACATGAACAATATATACCTTTGTAAATGTAATTTTCTGCGTGTACTTTGACATCCTAGCTCTAGCAATTATTCCTCAAGAGAGGCCTAAGGGTATTTGTAAGGACATCCTGAACTTGTTCAAAGCAAAGAAAAAAAACTCTTGAAGGAAAGGTGGTTTTGTGTGTAAATCCTGGAGTAGATGTCTTCCAGTAGTGTCAGGAGCAAGACAGAGCCAGGTTATGATGTTGTCCAGGGCATGGGAATTCTGTACATGAATATAGACACTGAGTGGGAGGCAGTTGGAGAGAGCTCCCTCCACCACAAGCACCCACCAGGACCTCTTCTAAAGCTGCAGCCCCTCTATATAAAGCATCCTTGACTCAGGATCCTGACCCTTTCTTTATTCTCCTATCATTTAATTTTCCCCCCAAGAGAGCTGAAATTCCTCAAGAGCATGCACCAAGCCACCTAAAACTCCAACCATAGAGAAGGGGCATTGAGTTATAAAACCAGGCTTTAAGCAGTAGTGAAGCTCCCTACAGCTATAGGACTTAGCATGATGGGCTTAGCATGAGTGTGAGTGAATCCTTCCTCCATACAGAGAACATCAGGTGGGTTGAGGAGTGTGCCAATAAGGCCTTCCCAACCTGGAGAAAATTAAAAGGGCTTGTGAGACACGCAGTGACACAGCAGGGTCCTAGCCTAGACAAACACTATAGACGGAGATCTAGTGGCCTAGAACCACCTGAAGACACAGTAACAGTGAGAACTAAGGGTTGACCTACATCAATACTCCTAGGTTTGTCAGCCTAGGAAAAATAT